TATGCACATCAAACACAGCCTTAAATACAAGCCTAGTATCAAAAGGCAGAAATAGATCCTTACTGGAAAGCTAACATGGAATGGAGGTGTCGACGGAGATTACGGAGGGAAGCAACGACTGGACTCGATTCTGCTACTGTGAACTCGATGCTTCTGATGTCAGGGCACAGAGGCGAGAAAGTTGAACTAGGTTGCATATAGTGGGGCACTAGTGGGGTAGTAGATGAAGAGATTGTAGGTGGGTGTAATGAACCAATGACTGGCGGGGCACTGACTGGAAACGATCAGAGGCAAGCGTCGTGGAGAGGCGAGAAGGCAAGCACAAGGGAGGAATTGGTGGCGCTGGTGGCAGACAGAGACGTCTGGAGAATAAGTTAGAGTGATCGAGGACTGTCAAGGTGAAGTAGCGTGAAGAAGATCAGTAGATGGCAGCCGATGAATGCGAGCTCAACTGAAAGTGATTGTCTCGAACGATATAGGTTTGATTTGTGTTACAGGAGTAGCGGAAGGATTGGTTTGATTGTTTGGAAGGCGAGACAGATGCCAGGTGAGTCGATACCTACAGGAAATTTGTCGGCTGGCGACGTGAACTGGGTATGATCGTGAGGCAAAGATAATTGCGGGGGTGGGTTCGTACAAGGATGAGTTAGGCTTTTGATGTATTGAAGTGGGCTGTGTGAATTTATGTGAAATGGCATGTTTATGTATGTTTTGTTGGGATAGATGGGTATGAATAACATTGATGAAACCATAATTTTTAATATCGAATTTCAAAAATCAGATTTAAATTTTGTTTATACCAAAATCAGATTTTAATTCAAATATTTAAACTGTGTTTGTTACTCATTTTTCCAAGAATGAGATTGAGTTTCCTTACCATTGCTAAACCAATTTCAAATTAATTGTGAGAAGGAAGTCAACTTTGTAGACTCCCCTCTAATTTCTCTCTCAATACCCATCTCTCTCTCTCTCTTCAACTGGCATCCCCTCTCCCTGCCTATTTCTCTATCTCACACATCACAGCATGGCCAACGTCCCGTTCCCAACCGTCGTCTTCATTGTCGATAAGTAGCATCGAGGCACTACGACCAGATTTTTCTGGGCGCTATTGTGAACTCGCTGTATTTGGTTCTTCCGGCGTCTAGTTCTCGACCGTTGTCTTCATTTGGTTCTCTGATTTTTTTTTATCTTATTTTTTGAGTTTGGTTGGTGGTGGTTGTGATGTTGGCATGGTGTTTGGTTTTTTGGCATCCCATTTTCAGCCGCCGTCTTCATCTCGTTTTCAGATTTTTAGATCAGATTTTTGGTGTTTGGTATTTGGTTGGTGGTGGTTGTGATGTTGGCTGCGGAAAGAGATGGTGGTGTTGTTGGTGGTTCGATGAGTTGGTGGTGGTCTTGGTGGTAGTGGCGCGACGTTGTGGTTGCTGTGAAGTTGCGACCTAGTTGTGAGATAACATTATTTTGGATTTGATTTTTTATGGTGTTTAGGTGGTGGTTGTGATGTTTGCTACGGTGTGGAGATGTTGGTGATGTTGGTAGTGGTCGTGGCGGTGGTGGTGGTTGTAGTGATCGTGGCTATGGTGCGTTGGTCATGGATGGGATGGAATAGGGTGGAAGTAATTGTTACCAATAAATTGGTTAATTTTATGATCAATAAATAATATATGACTTAAATAATGTAATTTTGACTAACAATTTGTTAAGTTGTGATTGAGAAATAAATTGTGACTACTTAATTTGATAATTTGTGACCATTAAATAAATTGTAATTTATAAAATTTATTATTTATGTCTGATAAATAAATTGTGATCTATAGAATTTTTGATTTTATGACCGATGAATAAATTGTGACTTATGAAATTTTTTATTTGTGATCGAGTAATAATTTGTAACCAATTAATTTGATGATATTTTACCAAAAAATAAATTGTTACGTAATTGTGATCATAAATTGTATAATTGTGACATTCATATATTTAATTAATAAAATATATATTTAATATAAATTTTAATTAATATCCAATTTTTTAAGTGTTAAATCTTATTTCTTAGTTTTGAAATGTGTTAACAATTATTTTGTAAAGAGAAGAGTTCATAAATCAGGTTTTAACTATCACTAAATCAATTTTCAGGTCTTAAGTTTAAAAACGTAAAAATCAGGTATTTATTAATTAATTAAATATATTAAAATCACAATTATACAATTCATGGTCACAGTTGCATCCTTATGAGTCACAAATTATTTACTGGTTACATTTTATCAAATTAATTGGTCACAAATTATTTCGAGGTCACAAATCAAAAAATTTAGGCCATGTTCTCTTTGTTGTTTTCAACCCGTTTTCTGTTTTCAATTTTTCAAAACAGTAAAAACGCGTTCTCTAACCTATTTTCGAATACTTGTTTTGAAAAATGGAAAAAAATTTACACTAAAAACGGAAAATGGCCCAAACATCGTTTTGGAAAACATCAGCCAAAACACGATAAAATTCGCANAGTTTCATTTCTGGAATGAAAATCTGCAAAACAAAGGATAAAGGTTTCTCATTAGAAACTGGCAATACAATACAAGAACTATTACCTGACTTTGGAAGATTATTTAATGCTGCCACAGTTCTTTGTAACTCGGTGTTTAAGGTCAACTCCTCTTTTTCCTTTCCAAGATGCTCATTAATGATAGATCCCCATTCCTTTTTACCAGCAAATTTGAAACTCATGGTTGAAATATGAGAAGCAAGGTGAAATTGTTTCTGATTTGTTATCATCTTGTGGTGAATGTGCTAAGGAGTTTGAGATTATAGACATTGCCTCGGGGTTCCTCGCCAATGAAAATATAGTCTCTTGTGGAACTAATACGTCAGATGGGAATAATATTTTGAGAATTGTTTGTTTCATAATTGGAGATGAGAAAATATCATGTGAAGGGCAGAAAATTGCATGCCTTTCGGTTCCATTTCATGCCATGCTTAATGGCTGTTTCATGGAATCATTTTGTGAGGACATTGATCTGTCTGAAAATAGCATTTCCCCTTCAGGGATGAGAGTGATCAGTGATTTCAGCATAACAGGTAGTTTGAATGAGGTTCAACCCAATCTTTTGCTAGAAATATTGGTATTTGCCAACAGATTTTGCTGCGAAAGCCTTAAGGATGCTTGTGATAGGAAACTTGCCTCTTTGGTTTCCTCTAGACAAGATGTCCAACTCATGGAATGTTCTTGGTGATTCTTTCTTTGCATTTCATTTATTGAGATATTCCTATTTGAGATACAAATGTGGACATAATCTTGTGGTGTAGGTTCCTCAGGTGAGTGGAAAAACTGAGCTCAGTTGACCGATCTCATCCGGTTGAAAATTCATGTAGAAGTTGCTATTTATACTTTGTAAAGAGTTGCCTCAGCCCATTGCTCTTATTGCATTGAATTAGATAGCCCCTAGATCCTACACGTAGCATCTTCTTTAATAAGGAAATATGAAATATGTTATCCTTTACGAATCGGCTAAATAGTGATGAAGTTGCTTCATGCTTGTATCCACTTTAGGTGTTTGAGTTCTTAGAGAACATTTCTGACAGCTTAACTGAGTTGGCCTCTAGGGAACTTTCTCTGTTAAAAGAAATGAAGGTTGGTCTTGTTTCTTCTATGTTTGGTTTGCCATGAATTCGATGCATTAGAGAGCCTGGTCCTTTTCTTCTTACCTTGAAGAAGATCTTTCAGTTTGATCTGGACTTTGGAATTGTTAAGCAGTACTTCCCCATCAATTTAGCGTTGTCAGGGATCTTCAAAATATGCCAAGATCTTTTTCGTAATTTTGTTCTTGTATTTTGATGGAAACATGATTTTGACCCATTTTGCTTGTACATTATAGTTTGTTTTCTTTGCTTATTACAAGCTTAAAATTTGAGGAGGTTACGGATGCATATGGTTGGCATCAAGATGTGCAGCTAATTTCTATCTTTGACTTGAGTTCTAGTGAACTCTTAGGTTACTTTTATCTTGACATATATGCCAGGTTCATTCTTTGCTTTTTATTTACCTTTAGTCTATCATTGTTGAAGCAGATATTAGCTAACTGAAAATTATTGCTTCTTAAGCAGGGAAGGAAAATATGGGCACAGCTGTGTTGTGGCTCTTCAAAATGGTTCATTGATACAAAATGCTAGACAGGTGACAATATTCAGTATTCATGTCATTAGTGCAGTTCCAAGCTTGTCAACCTTATACATTTCACGTCGCTGCATTAAAATTTTTGAAATGCCAAGAATTTGCATGCTGAGTGCTGGTTTGTTAAATTTTCTGTTGTTCTCCTACTGAGACCTCTTACCTTAGCTTCGTCTTGAGACTCAATTTGCCTGGATTGATGGTCTGCATTTACTGATATGTGTATGCCATTATTTAGTGACAGGATTATCATAATCCGATTATGTGGCATCACTCTTGCACATTGTTTATTACAAGTTCTACACCTTTAATTTTCTGCATGTGGTTAAATGGCAAGATTAATAAAATTCTGATGTTGCATATGCTCACTGTATTGCAGATTCCAGTAGCATTACTCATTTCACAATTGCAAAAGGAAGTTGATGGTCGTCCTGGGTTGTTGCGATCGTATGATGTCTTTTATTTTTGGTTAACTCGCCAATCGTATGATGTCTTTTAGTTATC